CATAGCTCTGCCAAGCCTGAATGGCGAGACCCTCGCGCGGCGAACCGCGAGGGCAATGATCAAATACAAGGCTCGGTGCCACTTAGAACTAATGGAAAAAACCCTCCCCCGGTTAGCCCGAAAAAGACAGCGGGTGACCGAAATGGCCCACGGACGACAGGTCCAGAGCTATGAGGCCCGGAATGGGAATGCTGGGCCTCGGCCCCAATATAAATTAGGGGACATAGTGCAGGTGAGGAAACGTGCTAGCCAGGGCAAGTTAGCGCCACGATTCTTCGAGCGATTCTGCATAGTCGAGCTCCATCCCAACGGGGTGACCATCGTGCGGCTTGCATCGGAGGTCTCGGGATGCCGATCGGCTCGACCGATCATTGGACACGTGTCCTATCTTCGTCCCTTACCTCCTTCTCTGTCTCTCCCCTCGTCCACGTCGTCCCTCGATTTTGTAGAGGAAGGCGACAATCTCGAATTCGAATACTTTGATTCCCCTTCCTCTCAACCTTCGTCTTTACCTTCTCCCCCATCGCCATGAGCTTTTCTACCTGAGCGGGTCATTAGCGAACGTCTGATGAGACCTGGGGGCCACGTTTCATCGATCTGGCAGGTACAACGACCTCGATTGAGTCCCGATCTACTCCGTTTTGCGACTTTCTTCAGTACGGCAGCCACCCACGCGGCGGCGGAGTTTCGGTTTGCACAGACCAGTGATCGAACACAGGTGTTGGCCGAGGTGTCGACTTTTTTGCGGTTGTCTCCGCCAGGTGTCAGCCACGTGACAATGATCGTCGCCTTCACCGGTGATCTTCCGACATTGCATCCGTTAGCTCACACAGGCGCCCTCCGACAGCTGCGACTCTACGCGGGAGACCTCACGGATGCGTGGGTCCAGCTGTTAGCTCGGCCAGGCGATCGGGTCGACTCTACCAACAACATCGACTTGAGCCATCTCAGACTCTCCCTCACTTCGCCGGAGGTCATCATCCTGGAACTTCTTTCCTTCGCGTCACGTCAATGAACCGACACCACCTCTCGACCTTCGGGCTTCTCTCTGGTCTCCCTACCTTTTGGCAGTCCGCTACAGACATCCCTCTCTCTTTTCAGATCAGGCAATTGGACGTGCCGATCCTTGACGCCGACAAGTGGGCGGAGTGGTGGAACGCGTATGTCACGCTCAACTTCTGCCTTCTCGAAGTGATCTTTCATTGGGCGGAGCCGACCGATAAGGACGAGGAAGCGAAGTCCCCGATGATGACGTGGAGCTGTTGATAATCCAGGCTTGAAGGAGGAACACGGAAGGGAAGCTGTTGGGGATTCTGTTCAGAAAGGTGAGGGACGACCATTTGGAAATTGGAGCCGATCACAAGCGAGATCCTGGTGTTTTTGGCGCAACTCCTGGACGATCTGCCTCTGGATATCTTGTTGCGCTGTGATGAGCGGACCACACCGGCGGTGCTTACCTGTACGTTGACACCACATCTATTGTGGTCCACGTGTACGGATCTCGACTGAGACAACTCCTACTACCCCTCCTCAAGCCACTATCTGGTTATGGACGTGACCGATCTCACCTTGTGGGATCCAGTCACTTGAAGGGTGGAAGCAGAAGAAGAGATAGATGAAGAGGAGGAAGAGAGAGAAGAGGGGAGCGAAAGAGAAGAGGAAAACTCGGGAGCGGAATCTGGCGACCCCGATTACCACGAGTCTGAGGAGGGCAAGCTGGAAGAAAGTGAGTCGGGTGGATCGGATAGTCCCAACGAACGGAGTGAGGAGGAAGACGAAGTTGCAGCTCGAAAGAAGCGTGAAAGGGAAGAAGGTAAGCGGCCGGTGGAAGAGTCAGACGGACCATCCGCGCAGCTACTACAAGGTGATCCAGCACGCAATCCAGAGCCAACGCGAGAGGAGCCCGGAGGAGACGGCGTCGCCACCACGGAGGGATCCAGAAGCAGACGCCGTCGAAGAAGTTCTTTGCCGACTCAATCCCCTCCACCACCACGGCCCACTGTTCGCATACGTGGAGATGCGGGCGCTCGGCACGGTTGTCGAGCCTCGGCCCCGGGGCTCCGCACTCCCGGCCCCGGCCAAAAAAAAAAAAAAAAAAAAAAAA